ATCAGAGGAGCAGGAAGGCTGATGTTTCAGGCCTAGACCGTTCTTCATTTTCTGAAGAAGGGTCTAGGCCCGAAACGTTAGCCTTCCTGCTCCTCTGATGCTGCTTGGCCTGCTGTGTTCATCCAGCTCTACACCTTGTTATCTCAGATTCTCCAGCATCTGCCGTTCCTACTATCTCTGTTCTCATTTCCGTTTGTGTATGTTTTTTTCTAGGACAGCTGTTAGGATTGGTTTTTGTTTCACCCCCACAGATACCAGTCGTGTTTTTTTGTTCCATTACCATCTTGTTTTGCCCTGTGCTATCGTCTGTTTTGGGATTCACCACCAGATTCCCCAGCACTAGAGACTCACCACCAGAATCCCCAACAATGCAGACATACCATCAGATTCCCTAACAGTACAAACCCATCAGATCCTGCAAAACTATAGACCTATCACTAGATACTATAGCACGAGTGATCCATCATCAGGTTCCCTAGCACTACAGACATATCATCAGAATCATGGGAACCAGGAGGCAAACTCTCTGCTGGTTGGAGTCATACCTGGTACATAGGAAGATGGTTGTGGTTGTTGGAGGTCAGTCATCTCAGCTCCAGGACATCTCTGCAGGAGTTCCTCAGGGTAGTGTCCTGGGCCCAACCACCTACAGCTGCTTCATCAATGACCTTCCCTCCATCATAAGGTCAGAAGTGGGGATGATCGCTGATTATTGCACAATGTTCAGCACCATTTGTGACTGCTCAGGTACTGAAGCAGTCTGTGTTCTTAGGCTGGAAAGTGGCAAGTAATATTCATGCCACATAAATGCCAGGCAATGAACATCTCCAACAAGAGGCATCTAACCACCAGCCCTTGATATTTAATGATATTACCATCACTAAATTCCCCACCAACAGCCTAGAGGTTACCAGTGACAAGAAACTTAACAGGACTCACCACATAAACACAATGGCTACAAGAGCAGGTCTGAGGCTAGGAATACTCTGGTAAGTAATTCACCTCCTGACTCCCCGAAGGCTGTCCACTATCTATAAGGCACAAATCAGGAGTGTGATGGAATAGTCCTCATCTGCCCATTTGATTAAGAAGGCAGATGGCATGCTTGCCTTCATTGGCTGGGGCATGGAGTACAAGAGTTGGCAAAATATGTTGCAGCTATACAAAACCCTTGTTAGGCCACATTTGGAGTATTGTGTGCAGTTTTGGTCACCACATTACCGGAAGGACGTGGAAGTTTTGGAGAGACTGCAAAGAAGGTTCACCAGGATGTTGCCTGGTCTCCAGGGCATTGGCCATGAAGAAAGATTAAAAAGACTAGGATTGTTTTCACTGGAAAGATGGCAGCTGAGAGGAGACCTGATAGAGGTCACAAAATTATGAGAGGCATAGATAGGGTGGATAGTCAGAGGCTTTTTCCCAGGTTTGAAGTTTCAGTTACAAGGGGACACAGTTTCAAGGTGAGAGGGCAAAACTTTAAGGGAGAAGTGCGACGAAAATTTTTCACATAGAGAATGGTAGGAGCCTGGAATGAATGCACTGCCAGAGGAGGTGGTGGAAGCAGGCACATTGGTACCTGTTAAGAGGTGTCTGGATGGTTACATGAATAGGGAGGGAATAGAGGGATACAGACCAAATAAGGGCAGAAGGTTTATTTATTAGTTTAGTCAGGGCATGATGATCGGCACAGGCTTGGAGGGCCGAAAGCCTGTTCCTGTGCTGTATGTCTCTTTGTTCTTTTGATTGGCACCACATCCACAAATATCCACTCCCTCCACCAGCGACACTTAGTGTACTGTGCATACTAGTACCATCCGCAAGATACATGGCAGAAATCCACCAAAAATTCTTAGCAGCGCCTTCAAAACAAACTTCCATCCAGATGGAAAAGGGCAGCAGATATATGGGAGCACCACCAGCTGCAAGTTCTCCTCCAAGCCACTCACATCCTGACTTGGAAATATATCGTTATTCCTTCACTGTCACTGGTAAAAATCCTGGAAGTCCCTCCCTAAGGAGATTGTGGGTCAATGTACCGCTAGCAGATTGCAGCGGTTTAAGAAGATTGTTCACCACCACCTTCTCAAGGGCAACTGCGGACAAGCAATAAATGCTGGCCCAGCCTTTGATACCCAAATCCCAACAATGAATAAAAAATTCGCCTACAACACAGATCCAATGGATCCCCTAACAATACAGAACCACCAACACATCCAGTAACAATACAGGCCCACTGAAAGATCCCTCACAATACAGTTCCAATAGATCCCCTAACAGTTCAGACCCACCACTTGATCATCCAGCATTACAGACCCACCAACAGACCCACCTGCACTACAAACCTATTGTCAGATCCCCTAGCACTAGAGATTCGCCAACAGATACCTCAGCATTAGTGATTCACCATCAGACTCTCCAGCACTAGAGTCCCACCATCAGATCTTCCAGGACTAGAGACTCACCATCAGATCCCCAGAACTAAAGAAGCATCATCAGATCCAACAGAACTAGAGACTCCACTAGATCCTACAGATCTAGAGATTCACCATTAGACCCTCTTAGCACTAGAGTCACACCATCAGATCTTCTAGGACTAGCAACTTCTCACCAGATCTAAAGGCTTACCAGTCTTACCAGTGCTAAAGACCTACAATCAGATCCCTTGTCATTACTGATTCACCACCAGACCTCTGGCTCATGGCTGTCTAAAATGTGGCCATAGTGTAGTAATACTACAGTCCAGTCCTTCAATACAGTTCATCTCTCCGTGCTTTCTCATTTCATTGTTAGGAATGGAACCTGTGATCACGTGCTGGGAGAGTACAAGATACAAGACATTCCAGGACACTATGTATTTAATTCCACTTCAAGTAGGTCAAAGCTCTCAATTCAAATCAACTGAGAATTGCATTGAGCATCATCTGTATCCTGAGCTCCTGCACCATTTGGGAAGAAAATATGAAACAGGAGAGATGGCCAAATACTGAATGGGGTGATAATGAGCAATGTTGAATGGAGTGATTCAAAGAGTATTGAATGGAGTGATATGAAGAATATTGAATGGAGTGATATGAAGGATACTGAATGGAGATTTTAAAGGGTATTGAATGATGTGCTATGTATAATATGAAGAATATTGAATGGGATGATATGAAGAACATGTTTAAACACGCCGAGGAAGATGAAAGTCTGATAGTTCTAGGTAGACAGTGCTAAAGAGTAGGGGCTCGGTATTTGGTCCGTTAGTTACCATAAATGAATCTCTGAGAAACGAAATGTTACTTCATTTCAGCTTGGAGAAGGATGAGAAGCAATTGCTCTTTGTTTGGGATCAAATAGATGAGCAGAATCAAGAAGAAAGTATGGATTGTGGGATTGTGATCAGAATAGTTCTAGTGCAGAATCTTAAATTCCAAACAGTCTTGGCTGAATTTTCAGATGCTGCACAGTCAGAGGAGCTGTTTTCCAATTGAGCTGTGAAACTAAAATTTTACACACTCTCTGGTGGTCTAAATGATTTCCTTACTTGAAATAGAAAAGGGGCAGAGAAGATCTCTCTGGTATCCTGGCAAATGGTAATCCCTCAAACAACTCACTGATTCTCAAGCTATTAAGAACAAAGAACAAAGAACAAAAAAAATTACAGCACAGGAACAGGCCCTTCGGCCCTCCAAGCCTGCGCTGATCCAGATCCTCTATCTAAACCTGTCACCTATTTTCCAAGGATCTGTATCCCTCTGCTCCCTGCCCATTCATGTATCTGTCTAGATACATCTTAAATGACGCTATTGTGCCCGCCTCTACCACCTCCGCTGGCAACGCATGCCAGGCACCCACCACCCTCTGCGTAAAGAACTTTCCACGCATATCTCCCTTAAACTTTTCCCCTCTCACCTTGAAATTGTGACCCCTAGTAATTGAGTCCCCCACTCTGGGAAAAAGCTTCTTGCTATCCACCCTGTCTATACCTCTCATGATTTTGTCTCTCTTTCTGGGATCTTACTGTTCACCAACAGGATGCAAGATTTGCTTGGCAATGAGAGATTTCTAGGCCATGATTGGGCAGGGTTGGTCATAGTGCTATTACCTCTTTGGTGGATAAATCCTCCAATATCCTGACAGAGTGCTCACTTCGAACCGAACAAATCGGGAAGTGAAAGAGAAAAGGGAACAAATGACTTTCTGGTTAGTACCAAGAGTGTTCCTTCAACTGAGACATCAAAACATTCAACACTCACCATTACACATAGAGTAAAGCATCCCCTACATTGTCCCCATCAAAAACATTCAGGACAGTGACAGCACAGGGTTAGATACAGGGCAAAGTTGCCTCTACTCTGCTAAACTGAAAGTAAAGCTTCCTCAACACTGTCCCAATCAAACACACCTTAGACAAGTACAGCACTGGTATAGATGCAGAGTAAAACTGTCTCTACACTTTCATTAAAACAGCAAGTTAAAAATAATTAGTAAACAGCCCTGCTGGGTTTCTATATTGAACCCTGCCACCACCTCCGTAGGGGGAGAGCTCCAGCGCAAGCTGACCATATCCCAGCCTGTGTTGAGGTCCAGATAGAAGACAGGCAACTCCTGGAAGAAGACCTGAGAATGGGGCAACTCTGTGAATAAGAACTGCGTGTCATTACAGAGGCCGTGCATCTGATGGAAGAAATACATCATCGGGGTGCACCACCTTGGAGTAGGCTTGATGTCAAGGTATCACTGCAGGGTCTGAAGGTGGAAACCTGGGTGCAGAGGCACACCAGGACCTGACCATCCAGCTCAAGCAGGAGAGTCAGAACTGCTGCCTTTTGTCCCAGGAAAACTCAACAAGCTTTCTCTGGATGGTTATGACAAAGCCAGGGGGATGGACCAAAGTGACCAGCTGGTACCACAACATGGCGGCCACCAGCTGGTTTATGACCAGCATTTGTGCCCTGTAGGACAACTTTTGGAGCAGTCCTGTCCAGCGTGCTACATGAGCAGTCACCTTGGTTTTCAACACAAGCCAATTCGCTGGCCAGGATTCCTTGGCAGGGCAAAGATGGACTCCCAGGTAGGGGAGGTGAGTGGTACTCTACGTGAAGCATCGAGCTCCTCCAGCAGGGGGTCCATCTGCCATGGACCGACCAGAAGTCCCGAACACTTGCTCCAGCTGATCCTTGCGGAGGACGCCACAGAGTAGAAGTGCTGGCACTTGCCCATCCTCTGCTGGTCAGCTGGGTCCATGAACATGGGAGCACATCGTCGGTGTACGCCAAAAGAACGACTACAAGCCCCAACCTGCGCAGGGCCAAACCGGAAAGTCACTTATGCTACAGGCGCAGGAATGGCTCCATGCAGAGAGAATAAAGCTGGCCAGACAGGGGCAGCCCAGATGTACTCCTCTCCCAAAGCCATTGTTGATTGTTGGAAAAATCCAGCTGATTCACTATCGTCGTTCAGGGAAGGAAATCTGTCATTCCCACCTGGTCTGGCCTACATGTGACTCCACACCCACAGCAATGTGGTTGACTCTCAATTGCCCTCTGAAATGGCCTAGCAAGTCACTCAGTTGTACCAATTGCTAAAAAAATCTCAAAGAAATAAAACTGGACGGGATTACTTCGCATCGACCTAGACACCGGAAAAGACAACGGCAGAAACAGCCCTGTCGACCCTGCAAAGTCTTCCTCACTAACATCTGGGGGCTAGTGCCAAAATTGCAAGAACTGTCTCACAGACTAGTCAAGCAACAGCCTGACATAGTCATACTCACGGAATCATACCTTATAATGTGCCAGACACCACCATCACCATCCCTGGATATGTTCTGTCTCACCAGCAGGACAGACCCAGCAGAGGTGGAGGCACAGTGGTATACTGTCGGGATGGTGTTGCCCTGGGAGTTATCAACATTGACTCCTGACTCCATGAAGTCTCGTGGCTTTAGGTTAAACATTGGCAGTTAAACTTCCTGCTGATTACATACAACATCATTTCTCAACTAATGAATCAGTACTCTTCCATGTTAAACAACATTTAGAGGAACCATTGATGGTGCCAAGGGAACAAAATGTACTCTGGGTGGAGGATTTCAATGTCCACCACCGAGTGGCTCAGCAGCAGTACTACTGATCGAGCTGGTCGGGTCCTAAAAGACAGAGCTGCTAGACTGGGTCTGCGGAAGGTGGTGAGGGAACCAACAAGAGGGAATAACAATAATTGACATCATCCTTACAAATCTCCTAACTGCAGATGCATCTGTCCATGACAGTATCGGTAAGAGTGACCATCGCACAGTCCTTGTGGAGACAAAGTCCCACCTTCACAGTGAGAATAAGCTCTATCATGTTGTGTGGCATTATCACTGTGCTAAATGGGACAGACTTCACACAGATCTAGCAACTCAAGACTGGGCATCCATGAGGCGCTGTGGGCCATCAACAGCAACAGAATTGTACTCCAGCACAGTCTGTAACCTCATGGCCCGGCACATCCCCCACTCAACCATTACCATCAAGCCAGGGAATCAATCCTGGCTCAATGCAGAGTGCACGAAGGCATGCCAGGAGCAGCACCAGGCCTATCTGAAAATGAGGTGTCAACCTGATGAGGCCACCAAACAGGACTTACCTATGTGTCAAACAGCATAAGCAGCAAGTGATAGACAGAGCTAAGTGATCCCACAACTGACGGATCAGATCTAAGCTCTGCATTCCTGCCACATTGAATTGTGAATGGTGGTGGAAAATTAAACAAATCAATGAAGGAGAAGGAGGAGGCTGCATAAATATCCCCATGCTCAATTATTACAGATTATATAGAATCCCTACTGTGTGGAAACAGGCCATTTGGCCTAACAAGTCCACACCTATCCTCCGAAGAGCATCCCACCCAGACCCATTCCCTCACCTTATAACTGCATTTCCCATGCTAACACACCTAACCTACACATCCCTGAACACTGTGGGTAATTTAGCATGGCCAATCCACCTAACCTGCACATCTTTGGACTGTAGGAGGAAACTGGAGGACCGGGTAGAAACCCATGCAGACACGGGAGAATGCACAAACTCCACACAGACAGTCGCACAAGGGTGGAATTGAACCCAGGTCCCCAGCACTGTGAGGCAGCAGTGCTAACCACTGAACCACCGTGCCACCCTAGCACATCGAAGAGCCTAGCACATAAGTGCAAAAGATAAGGCTGAAACTTTCACAGCAATCTTCAGCCAGAGTGAATGAACCATCCCTGCCGCTTCCAATGGTCCCCAGCATTACAGATACCAGTCTTCAGCCAAATTGATTCACTCCACATGATGTCAAGAAATAGTTGGAGACACTGGATATTGCAAAGGCAATGGGTCCTGATAACATTCCGGCAATAGTACTGAAAACCTGTGTTCCAGGCCTTGCTGCTTCCCTTGTTAAACTCTTTCAATACACTTATAACATTGGCATCTACCCAATAATGTGGAAAATTGCCCAGGTATGTCCTATGTATAAAAATCTAACCCAGTCAATTACCGCCCCATCAGTCTATTCTCAATCATCAGTAAAGTGATGGAAGGTGTCATCAACAGTGTTATCAAGCAGCACCTGCTCAGTGATTACTTGCTCAGTGACGCCCACTTTGGGATCTACCAGGGCCACTCAGCTCCTGACCTCATTGCAGCCTTGGTGCTAACATTGGAAAAAGAGTTGAATTCCAGAGGTGAGGTGAGAGTGACAGTCCTTGACATCAAGGCTGCATTCGACTGACTGTGGCATCACAGAACCCTAGCAAAACTGGAATCAACGACTATCAGGGGGAAATCTCTCTGGTGGTTGGAGTCATACCTAGCACATAGGAAGATAGTTGTGGTTGTTTCAGTCATTTCAGCTTCAA